TGCCGCCACGTACGACCACCACCCCCCCCCCCCCACCCCCCCCCCCCACCACACACACACGCAGATGACGATCATGTGACTCACGATGGCTACACACACCGCATACGGGCACTCGACGTTGTGCAACAGGAGGCAATGCTGCGTGGGATGGTGAGCGAGGACGGGACGAGCATGGTGGTCCGCGACATACCGGCAGATGTGTGCACTCGTGACGGCATCGAGGCGCTGCGGAGGGTGCTGGCGGACGGACTCGCGCTGGAAAAGGTAGTCATCGAAGGGTGCAACATCGGCGTTGTAGGTGCACGTATGATCGCACGCTTGCTCTTGGATGTCGGGTGGATCGAGCTCTCGCTGGCGAGGAATCATCTCGGCGTCGAGGGCACCACCGTTCTGGCAGAGGTGCTCAAGGGCAACAGCGTTCTGGAAGTCCTCTCACTCGCCGGCAACTCGGTCGGACTCGCCGGTGCAAGTGCCCTTGCCTCGCTCCTCGAGTCCAACCGCTCGCTCCGGGTCCTCGACCTCGGCGAGACTGATCTCCGCGAAGAGGGCATGGCCGTCCTGGCGCCGGTCCTCGCCCAGAACCGGTCGATCGAGTCACTCGACCTCTCCAAAAACGACATCGGTAACGACGCCGGCGTCCATGCCGTCGCCGACATTATCCTGGGCAACACGACGCTGACGTCGATGTCGCTCGCCTCCAACTCGATCAAGCGCACCGGCTGCCTCGTTCTCCTCGAGGCTCTCCGCCAGAACCACTCGCTCACCTCGGTCGACATGGCCGGCAATGCCAAGACCGACGGCGGCGCTGAACTCCTCGCCGACCACCTCAAGGTCAACGCCACTCTTGGCGACTCGTTGTTCTGAGCACCCGTACATGCCTATCTGCCTGCCTGCCCGCCTGCCTGCCCGCCACCCGCCTTTATCGCACACGTCTCCCCTATCCGATACACATCAACCCACCTCTGCGCCATCCCCATCCCCATCCCCCCCCCCCAACCAAGGTAAACTGAACATCCCCGGCTCTGCTGCAGGGGGCTAGAGTAGCCGTGTCTTTTCGCTCCTCCCGATCGCAATCGAGCATCATACCCCCTATAATCCAGTAGAAACAATGATTTTTACCCCC